CCTCTGCATCCTGAAGGGGATTTACCCCCACGAGCCCAAGCACAAGAAGAAGGTGAACAAAGGCTCCACCGCAGCCAGGACCTTCTACCTCCTCAAAGACATCAAATTCCTCCTCCACGAGCCCATCGTCAACAAGTTCCGGGAATATAAGGTAATTATCCTGCAGCAGAGCGCTGGGGTGGTGCCCAAGGGGTTTGCTTGGGGCTCGTCCTCTCCCGCAGAGCCCCCAGTCTCTCCCTCTCCCCACAGGTGTTTGTCCGGAAGCTCCGGAAGGCGTACGGGAAGAGCGAGTGGAGCACCGTAGAGCGGCTGAAGGACAACAAGCCCACCTACAAGCTCGACCACATCGTGAAGGAGAGGTGAGCCACCGGCTGAGTCCCAGCAGAGCCGTCCTCTTTTGGGAGGAGCTTTCCCTGCAGCCGCCTGGACTTGTGGAGCCTTCACCATATCCACCCATCTTTAGGAATCCAGCTATTCTCTATGTGTTCTGGGGGTTTTGATGGGAACCGCTGTTTCTGGGCTGGAGGAGAAGGCCGTAGCTTGCTGCACGCTGGCTGTAGCAAAGCATGAGTGAGCAGGGAGTGCCTGGCTGTTCTAGATGGCTCCAGGATCTGCAGGAAGATGCTCAGAGCTCTCTTCCTCTCCCTGAGCGGTGTTTTCCTTGGCGGGAGGGCTGCTGGAGGGTGAATCGTGCCAACAGAGTTGGTGAGTTTGGTGGCAGTGAGAGACGAGAAGGCCCAGGAGGGAGGGAACCTGCTCTGGCAGGTCTCCTCATTGTCCTGGCATTGCCTGGGACCTCACTGTGCTGGTGCGGGAAGGGGAGAGAGAAACAGCACCGAGACAGATGCTGCTACCCCGACAAATTCTGTGCTCAGGAGGGGAGATGGCCTGGGCACCTGGCAGCCACGCTGCTGCTTGAGCTGTGGGGCCATGGGGTCTCCCTCTGACTGCAGCGTTGGAGCCCTGCAGCTTTCGTCTGGGCCTCATCCATCGGGCCGAGGAGCACCACGTGCCAGTGTGCTGCACTGCAGGCCACAGGCATGCTTGTCCTCGGTGGGGCCAGGCTGGGATTCCCCAACACTCTGTCCCTGCGGGTGCCCTAAAACCTGTTCACATCCACCCAGTAATCAGGGGTGTTGCCATCCCCTCGCCAGCGAAGCTTCCTGGCTCCCTGGAGAGCCCTGAACCCCAGGAGCCGTGTGGCTGTGGGCTCTTTGGTGCCCAGGAGGGAAACCCCGTCCCTATGGGTTGCCAGCTTTGGTGGGACCTGCAGGAGATGGATGCTTCACGGTGCCCATTCCTTTCTCATGTGAGGCCTCCACCAGCCCCAGCAGCTTTTGGTGGACATGGGGGCTGGGTGTGATTCCCCCTTCACCTCCTGCCCGGGCACAGGTACCCAACCTTTGTGGATGCGCTGCGGGACCTGGACGATGCCCTCTCCATGTGCTTCCTCTTCTCTACCTTCCCACGGACGGGCAAGTGCCACGTCCAGACCATCCAGCTCTGCAGACGCCTGGCCGTGGAGTTCCTCAACTACGTCATCGCCTCCCGCTCCCTGCGCAAGGTGGGCGCTGCGGGGAGGGACGGGGCCAAGACTTCCCTGCCCCAGGGGGCTGTGGAGGCAGGGGCGGGGGGATGGGGCCGCAGGAGTGCCGCAGGAGGGCACTGGGCCAGCTGTGCTGACAGCTTCAGATGGGGAATGAGCGCCGCTGGACTGTCTGTGACGCTCCCCCGATGAACCTGCTGACAAGGGAAGGGTTAACAAGGACAGGGACAAGGGAACACCCGTGGCCTTGCTCCCCCTGAGCCCTCGCTCTCTTCCCTGCCAGGTCTTCCTCTCCATCAAGGGCATCTACTACCAGGCCGAGGTGCTGGGGCAGCC